CTCCGCTCCTGCTTCCCCCTGTAGCTCTGCCCCCCCCCCGTGTCTGTGCCCCCACTCAGACACCCCATGTCCCTGCACCTTCACTCCCACTCAGCCCTTGCCCCAGTCTGTCCATCCCCACTAGCCCTGTCTGTGACCCCCCTTGGCCCCGTGTACCCTGTGCTGTCTGTCCCCCGATCGGACCCAGCGGGCGCTGTGGAGAAGGCTCTGCAGGCTTTTACTCATCCCTCGCCTTGCTGGGCTGCCCAGGAACCGCTGCTCTGTTCTAGTGCCCTCTGGGGGGCAAAAGGCAGAACTACAACAGCTTTCCAGCAGAAACTACAGTGTTTTGTGTGTGTGTGTGTGTGAGGGGAGGGAGGGGGTTTCAAAAAAGGTGTGGCACATGAATTATGCGCACACGCCGTGGCGTGGAATTCCCCCAGGAGTAGCATTTGTGAGGTACTAAATTGGACTTGCACCCACACTTTCAGGAAGCACAATGCTTTGCTCCAAGCCTATTCTGTAGTCACAACCTTGGGAACAGCAGTATTATAGTAATCTGTACCACCTGCATCTTCGGCAGCCCCCTGACTACGGCTTACCAGACACTCGCATTTGGAGTACCGATAGGGACTGGCGCTCAAAGAAACGGTTACTTAACTGTAACTGGGTGGTCTTCGAGATGTGTGGTCCCTATCTGTATTCCACTTACTCTCCAGCTCATGACTGGATTAATGATTAAGAAGGAGCTGCTTTGCAAGATTGTCGAATTGGTGGATTTCATCCTCTCGTGCTTTGTTTTTAGTTACTGATTTGATGCAGAAAACCAGCTTTCCTGATTTTTCTACTCCCAGCTAGTTTCTTGACTGAATTAGTCATTGAGCCAAACTCATTGACTAAGTTGAAATGAAGACAATATTGTTATAATTTCAAATTTCATTTTAAATAAGTTTATTTAAAAATATATATTTAAATACAAATCTGATTTTAAATTAAAAAGCTGATTTAAAGTTAAAAAAATCTAATTTTTATGTATGTATTTTTAATAAGTGATTTTTTTTTTAATCCATCTTTCCAACAAGTATCATCAGGGAGATTTCTCAGAGACGAGCTCCAAGACAGAGGCTTTTGGGGAGGAAAATAAGATGGTTGTTACAACTATTATGTTTTCTTTTTTTTGCTGTTAACGTTTTGTGCAAGTCCCATGTTTTATTAAATATTAATTAGGCTGGGGAGGATTAGATATTTTTCAATAAATGTGCATTTTGACGTACAAATACAAACCGATGAGAAAACATTTCCGTCAATGCTAGAAGTGTACAGGCAGGCAAAGGAAGTAATTATTAGACTTTGATTGAAGGATATTTCATATGTATATTTTGACATTTGATGCTGATAATTTGTGTTTTAACGGTTGCAAAACTGTAACTTTTTGAATCAGAGCGTCTATCATTAAATAACTATTCTCTGCCCCCTATAATTTCCTGCAACTGTGAACATTTAAATCAATACAAATGGAGCAAATGCTTAAAACCCATAATTTTGCGCAACTGTGAAAACTGAAATAAATACAAATTAAAAAATTGATCCTCGGCTTTTCAGCCTAGAAAACAAAAGTGCTATGTTCTCCCGTGGCTGGAAGTTGAAGCTAGATGTAGTCAGGCTAAAAAGAAGGTGACAGCTCTTATAGTGAGGGTAACTAACCACTGGAACAGCTTGAGAAGGGTTGTGGTGGATTTTTCTATCGAGGTTGAATCCCTCCCACCCCCAAAAAAGACATGCTCTGCTTCAAATATGAATGAATTCTGGAAAGTCTGTGTTATCTGCTCTGACCTCCTGGAGAATCACAGTGGTTCATGCTTGGTCATGGCATCTATGAAACTGTGAATCTTGCCAGGTCTGTTAACACTGCTTATGTGTTGCTTTCTATGCCTAGTTTCCAAAATGCTTTACAACAGCTGGGTCAGTGTCATTACCTCCCATTTTACAGATGGGGAAACTGAGGTGCAGATTGGGTCATGTCTGAATTTCCAAAGGAGGGGCCTGATTCAAATTTAGTGGGTTTTGGATCACCCCTTCCTAGTTGCCTTATCTAAAAGCCGAAAATAAAATGTACAACGTGGTGACTCGGTGCTACACTGCCCTCTGGTGGGTGGGATGAGAGCTGAGGAGATGCTTGCTTTGAATTGATGATAACCTTTCTCCAAAGAAGTTTTAGTCTTGCACATTTTTTAAAAAAATCCAGACTTTTCATTTGGCTTTTACCTGGAAACGGCTTAAAGGGTTTCCCTCGAACCTAACAAGAATTATTCCTGGGCTGCGGCCGAGCCTGGCAGGTTTTACCCTCTAACGGAGGACTTTCAGGGCAGCTTTTTGGGATGTGAAAGCAGGTTCAAGTCAGACTAAACCTGAACTCTCACTCTGCCCCCTCCCCCATCGGCAGGAGAAAGGCGGCTCCTAGTGGAGATTTCAGGCACTGCAGATGGAATTCAGTCCACCTGGACATAGTCTGGCTCTGGGGGTGAGCGGCTCTGGGGGTGAAGCATCCAGGGAAGCAAACTCCCTGCCTGTCCCAGGGGCTGGCGTGATTCCCCCCCCTTCTCTCCGTTGACAGGCAATTCCCCCTCCGACGAGTCCGAGGAGCGAGAGAGGGACCCCAAGGTTCTCACCTTCCCCGAGTACGTCGCCAGCCTGTCCGAGTCGGGCACCAAGCGGGTGGCGGCCGGGGTGCGCATGGAGTGCCAGAGCAGAGGCCGCTGCCCCTCGTCTTGCCCGCTTTGCCATGTGACCTCCAGCCCCGACACGCCGGCCGAGCCAGTTCTGCTGGAGGTCACCAAAGCGGCGCCCATCTACGAGCTGGTCACCAACAACCAAACCCAGAGGGTGAGGAGCCGGCTGCTGGGGGAGGGGCAGGCGGGGGCAGGGCTGCGACTGGCCGAGCTGAGCTCGTCAGTAGGACCCACCCAAATTCACGTCCCTGAAAAGCTCAGCGCAGGCAGCAAAATGGGGTCCCCCTCCAGGAAGTCTGGTCTTTTGTGCGCTTTTGTGCACGGAAGTAAGGGTAGCAGTATCGCAACCCCCCCCCAATAACCTTGCAACCCCAGCCCCCCCCAACTCCTAATTGGTCAGGTACCCTGCAATTACATTTAAATAGATGAAATCCTTAAATCTGTGATGTTTAAAAAAAACCCGTGACACTGAAATTGACCGAAATGGACCATGAATTTTGGTGGGGCCTTAGTTACTAGCAGTGAATGGGTCGGGTGGGCCTGGAACGACCGCCCGCCCTTGTGTGGCACAGCATGGGTGGCCGGCTGGCAGCGTGGCTGCTTGCCCGCTGGCCGTGCCACAGCTCCTGGTTTGCCACCTGGGGCACGGCTCAGAAGGGTGAGTGGTGAGGAACAGCCAGCGAGTTCCCAGAGACAGGCCCCACAGCGAGCAGGCCCTTGGGGCGCTGCCCTCCTGCTACCCAGGCCAGAGCGCCAGCCAGCACGCGAGGGAGTAACGGGCCCCAGGCTAGGCGCAGCACTTGCCACCTCACCCAGCTGCAGATGGGGGAAGGCTGCCCTGTGAACGCCCCTCCCCTGACGTTGCTCTTGGCAGTGGGCGCGGGGCCGCAGCCTGCACAGGAAGAGACGGGCTTTCGCGGGCCAGCAGCGCAGTGGGCCTGAGGGCGGGAGAGGGGCCTGGCCCTGACCCGGCGCCTCCCTCTCAGCTGTTGCAGGAGGCCACCATGAGCAGCCTGTGGTGCTCCGGGAGCGGGGACGTCATCGAAGACTGGTGCCGGTGCGACTCGAGTGCCTTCGGCGCCGACGGGCTCCCGACCTGCGCCCCCTTGCCGCACCCCGTGTACGTCGCCTGCATGCCGATTCCGCTCCCTCCCCGGCAGCGCCGGCGCCAGGGGGCCTTGGAGCCGGAGGCCAAGAAGCAGCGCGCGGTGGGAAGCCGGGGTGGCGGCGGCAGCACGCCCTTCCCCCGCACTCCGTAGACGGTCTTGGCCCCGAACGGGGGTCCCTGGGCCTGGCGGGGGAGTCGAGTCACGTTTCAGCAGCATCGCTTGGAACCGGGCGCCTTCCCCAGACAGACACCAGCAGGACTCCGCACGCTGGAAAACTGCACCAGGCTTGGCTGGGGCGGCAGCTTTCCTCTGTCAAACTAACACCGAGCTTTGGGCCCAGTTCTGGCCGGGCCGGGGCCCCTTCGTCAGACCTGCCCTGGTGGGGAGGCCCCGGTACAG